AATTGCAACCATTGTTAGATGGTTATGATGAATAAATTGCTGAACAAAAGCATATTGTAATTAAATTTAAATATATTTTATAATTATTTAGATTGAAATATACAAATAAGATATCAGTTAATTAGAATAATTATCAAGACAATTTGTTGAAGAAAATTAGACATTGAGGGAATAATTAGAAAAAAAATGTGAAATTATTTTAAATATATATTAAAATGGAACAATATAAGATTAGATGGCTAATTTATACAGTAAAATATTTATATTTAAATTAAGAGCGCTTATAGAAGGATGATTGGGCAGAGAAAGTGAAAGAGCTTACATAAGAAAATCATACTTTGTTGAAGAACTACAAAGAACTGTTGGGAAAAGTGAAAGAATTATAGAGAGATTGTGATTTATAAAAAAAACAATTAAAGGAAAATCAACTAAAAAACGAGAAATTATCAACTGAAATTAGTGAGATTAGAGATTTAAAATAAGAATATTAAAGAAAATATGAAGATTTACTTAGTTCAAATAAAGATGCAGATAGTAAAATAAGAGAAGTGAAGAATAAAAATGTAAAATTTGAATAGGATAATATAAAATTAATCTTATAATATGAAGAATTAGAGAAAAGATACTAAGCTTTAGTAAATGATTCAGAAAGTTAGTAGAAAGATTTTGAATCTGAAATAGATAAATTAAGATAAGAAATTTCTGATAAATCACGAAAGATAAAAGAATTAGAAGCTGAAAATCATTCAATAAACGAGGAAAGAGATTAATTTTCACATGATACTAAAAGCTTTTAATAAAAACTTCATGAGTCAGAAAAAGAAAATAATAAAAAATAGTTAACAATAGATGATCTCAATAGAAAAATTGACCTCATGTAAAAAAGAGAGGAAGAACAGTAAATTTTATGTTAAATTAATAGTATTAAATTATTGCAGAAAAGAGCTGAAAAGGAAAATTAACTTACACTTGAAATAGATAATTATGATTCTAAAACTAGATAGCTTTAACAATAAATTGATTCTATGAATTAATCACATTAAAATTAACTAGAATCTTTAAAAAATGAAAAAGATAAGGTAATAGAACAACAAAAGGTTAAATACAAATAATCTGTTGAAAATAGAGAAAATGTAAATTATAAACAAATATTAGAAAATAGCGGAGCTAGAGTAATTTTTAAATCAAAAAGAAATTTTGAATGAAAAATTATAAAAAGAGAATCATAGACTAAAATAAGAAAGGGAAGATTATGAATAGAATAACAAGGTTGAAAAATATAAGTTAGAACATGAGAACAACAGTTATAAGTCGAAGAATTAAGAATTAGAAGAATAAATTCGTAGAAGAGAATAATATTATGAAGATAAAATATAAGGTTTAAGAATGGATAAAGATTAATTAGAGTTGCAAGTATTTTAAGTATTAAATTAGAATAAAAACATCAATTAATTGCTTAATGAACTAAAATAGTAATATGAATAATTAAGAAAAAAGACTAATCAAATAGAAATTGAAAACTATGAATTGAAAGATAAAGTGAATTAATAAGGTCGTTCAATAGTTTAAGGGACAAATTCCAAAATAATGAGATCATATGTTCCTTCATGATGATCATTAAATAATAACAATTATAATACATAAAAATAGCCATTTTTCGTTTATATTTTTTCAAAATACATCATCAAACGGAGTTGACTATGTTTTTACATTTATTTAAACTGGGACATTCATGTTGATTTAAGCTTATGGTTGGTTATATAACTATGTAATTGAAATCTAAGGATTCTAATATTATTGTTATGGCATTTGATTAAAAGGTTAAGGCTGATATTGATTAGGCATACTTTATCTCTAAATTTATATAAATAATATAATTACAAATTATTATTATTATGGGGGGGATTATGTTGCTATTGATGACTGTATAGGAACATTAGGCTACAATAAAAGTAAAAATTACTTATTATTAATATAATGAAGTTATATTGAATTAAGGCTATTACTATGAATTTGGTTATGATACTACTGGTTCAGGATCATCAAAAGCATCCAATAAATCTTAAGGTAGAACTTTTTATTATTATTATTATTATTGTGGAGCTTAAGCATATTATGGGTTTTATTAAACTGGTTAATTGATTGGATTTTTATATAAAGGTTATTACTGTAATTATTATTATTATTGAACCTACTATTGTTGGTATAACAATTATTATTAATTTTATTATTATGGAGGTGGTATTTACGATTATTATTAGGGTTGGATGGGATCATCTCCAAAATCTAATAAATTTGTTTAAGGAGGGGGTTTTGGTTTTGGTTACTCTATCACCTATTATTGAGGTGGTTATTAGAAAAATGGTTGTCCCTATTGTTAAAATGATTGTCCCTATTGTTAAAAGGGTTGAGTTGGTTGAGTTTATTGAGTAGGTTATTAAAAATCTCCGAAAGGATTTGGTTTAAAGTCTTGTTAAAATTAATTTTATTATTATTATTATTATGGTTTTGGTTATTATTATTAAGTGTCATTAAATCCAAATCCAAAATTTCCAAAGACATTGTCATTAGTTGTTGTGGTTTGAGGTTTTGGAAAATTGCCAAAATCTGCAAAATCATTTTTAATTTATTATTAATTAAATGTTGATTGTGGTTGCTAAGGTTTATTTGAAAATGATTAGGTTTGTCTTTATTAAGGCTTTTGTTCGTTAAATTTAGCATATGGATCATCTTTAGGTTTGAATTAAATGTTTAACTTTTATTAATAATTAGAATGAGTATTGAACTCATTTTATTCTTCTAATCCTTTCTTAGGAGCCATCCTTTCTATATCATCTACCAAACCAAAATCATATCCTTAGTCTTATTCTTTATATAATGGTTTGTTTTATTTAGATGGCTTTGGTAATTTAGAGTAATAATCTTCTTAATTGTTTCCTTCATTGTATCCATCTTCAAATTAAAATTCTTTTTTTGTTTTTTCTAAATTCAGATGATAAATTACCATTGTGATAAAGATGACTGAATTACATATTGTTTATCCTTAGGTCATACAAATCTCCATTATTTGATATTGTTAATAAATTACTTTAAATGGTCATGGAATAATTAAAACTTCCTAAGACACTAAAATAATAGATAAATAAAATAAGAATACGATGCTTCTTCCCTTAAGGTTTTTCCATTATGTACAACTTTCTTTTTTCCAGATAAACCTGATACAAACAGTTCAATTGTATGATCCTTATCATCTATACTAAACTTCCAAGTGTACTTTTTTTTTGAACTAATTTATATGTGTAATTCATTACCTTTTGATATTTCTCCCAACATCTTATTGTGATTAATATAAGGCTCTGACAGACATTTTAATATTTGAATTTTTATATATTAAATATTATAGAGAGTTATGGAGATATGAATTTATAATTTATAATCAAGAAAGAAAGAAATAAAAAATTAAATTTAAATAATGGAAAAAATGACTTCTTGGCATGATACAAACTTAAGATGGTTTATATTAGTGTTAATTGGTGTTTATCCATTGGTGCAGTTCTTAATAGGTGAATATCCAGCACTATTGGGAGAGTAGATAAAATCATATTTTGAAGTGTCATAGGCAGAAATTAATTATTTATTGTCATTTCGATCATTTCCAAATATGATAATGTCATTAATCGGTGGTTTGATAATAGATACATTTGGAGTAAGACGATCCTATGTCTTTTTTGGATCAATTGTGATTATTGGTTAACGTATTTATGATAGAAATATAAATAAAGTATTGTGTTTCATGTCAGTAATTTTGAACAGTTTTATTGTGATGGTAATTGGTAGATTTATTTTTGGATTATTTGAATCAAGTGGATTTGTTGCTGAGAGTTATTATATTAACAAATGGTTTAAAGGGAAAGAAAATTCTCTTGCATTTGGGTAACCTAATAAACTATCATAGAATTGATACTGGTATTTGCAGATTAGGATCAATTGCAGCTGCAATTATATATCCTTATTTATATACAACCTCAAATAATGATTTATCTTAATGTTTGCTAATGTGTCTCTATATAGCAATTTTAAGTTTTATAATTATTGTTATTCTCACTTAAATTGATAGATGTAGTGATTTAAGAGATAAAACATCTGATTAAAAATTAGATAGCATTGATCTTAGATAAATAAAACAATTTAGTCTTGAATTCTATGTAACTTTAATTAGTTGTGTAACCTGTTATGCAGTATTTTTTATTTTTGGTTACAACAGTGTTGAAATGTTTAAGCATATGTAATTCTAATAAGAAAATTTAGATATAAATTGGATTAGAAAACTGCCAATACATTATTTAGCATCCCCTATTATCTATCTGCAATCTTAAGTCCTATTGTTGGACATTATATAGATAAAAAAGGAAAAAATATTGAAATTTTGTTAATTGCAAGTTTTTGTTAATTATTAACTACAACAATCTTTTATTTAATGCCAGAATGTGATACATCATGTGTTGCATTTCCTATGATTGGAAGTATATTAAATGGATTATTTTTTGGAACATATTATGCTGTTATGTGGCCACATATACCATTAATTGTTCCATCTCATATGGTTGGAATAGGTTTTGGTTTAACATTTACTTGTATAAACATAGGTATTAATTCTTAAATTAACATCAATAGAAATAACAAGTTTCTCATTTATTGTTGCTAGCATGTTACAAATCGAAAATTACTAAAACTATCAATAAATGAATTAATTGATGTTATTTTTATCTCTTGTAGGTTTTATTCCTTTAGTATATTTATTTTAATATCATCGAACATAATATCATAAAAATATTCATGCTTAAACTGATGATTATTTATCTACAAATTAAATTGAATTAATTGTAAAAAGTAAACCAACTTGAATAAATTTAATTTTTATTGGAAAAGTAACAAAATCATTTCCATTTTGTATAAATTACAAATACATTTATAATAACAAAATAAATCATTAAATATTTTCAATTTTTCTTTGGATTGTCAGCAAAATTTTAGAAGTTGCTATTAGTTATACGCATAGGATCATTTCTAAAGATCTCAAATTAATTTTCTTAATTTAATAGGGGTTATTATGATTGATTACCAATATCTAAAGGAGATCTTTCTATATTTATTTAATTTTTAAGACTATCTTCTAGAATCTTTTTCTATTCTTCAATTTCTTTTAATTTATTTTAAACTTCATTTGGTAATAATCCCTAAATATTACCCTATTAAACATTTTTAGCAGCATTTTATGTCTTTTCTGCCATATCTTTAGCTTGCTAATATTATTATTCTAATTTCTTTTTTTCTTCCTCAACCTTTTTCATTTGAGCCTTCATCTCTTCAGGCATAAAATCAATACCAGTTTAAAGCAAATTGTCCTTATTTTAAGTAGCTTATTCTAGCTTATCTTTCATTTTTTTAGCATCATCTATATTTTTTTAAATTTATTTTTATTATTCTTCAGCCTTCTTAATTTAATCTTTCACACTATCAGGCATAAAAGATTTAATAGATCCAAAGAATCCTCCTGCTCCCTATTATTATTATTATTCATTTTGTTTTTATTATTCATCTTCATTTTATTTTAATTTGGCTTCTTCCTCATCTGTAGGTTAATCTTTGATTCCTCCTAATTATTTTCCTTTGGCAACAATATTCTCAGTTTATTCTTTCATTTTCTTAACATCATCGATCTTTTTTTCTGCTTTTTCTATTTTATCTTTAACAGCAGATGGCATATATGCTTTCAAACCACCTAAAAATCCTTAATCCTTATTATTATCTTTTTTTTTCTCTTAATTAGTTTAATTTTAATCTTCTTTAAAAGTATCAGCAAAACCATTAGCTTTTTCTAAAAATTCCTTAGCTACTCCACTCATTAAATATTCAGGAACTTATTCATCCATAATTGGAACAATTGCTGCTGCAGCATCTCTAGGTAATTTTGCAGCTTCAAAATCATAAGGAGCATTGTTAATTAATTCATATTTTGGTTAGTTGTTTCTCCTATTTCGTATTTATTCTTTTGTATAAGATCTCAAAGTACACCAAAGATCATTTACTCTTTGAGTAGTTTTTTTTTTATTTTTCAAAAATTGTCTAAGACTAGGATATTGATATACAACATTGGGTTTTTTAGCTAAAATTATATCTCTAATTGGATCAATTTTATCAGAAAGTTTTACTAAATAGCCTTCAAATATTTTAAATACAATTTGTATAAGGAATAATAAGTTAAAGATACCTAATAAAACGAACATGATAATAATTAAATATTATGTATCATATTCTTATGAAGTGTAAATTAATAAGCCAATCAACAATGTTATAATACATACAATTGTTGAGTAACGATCAAGATGATTGAGATCATTATTTGCATAAGGTTTAGTATTAATTTAAATCCATGAATAATATAACAAGACTAAAATTACAAGAGCTCCCTTTATGAGAACATAATCTTCATAAAATGTAAGAAAAATAACCATTAATTCTTTTTGGAAGATTTTAACAAATTCCCAATAATAAGCAGAGGTATCATATTCATTATAAAAGAATCCCCATCTTGAACGAATATGTCTATTATTTAAATGGAATCTATAAGTGTAAACTCGATAAAGGAATATTAATGGTAGAATAGCAACCCAGATAACAATCATTGGTGCAACAAATGCAGCAACCCATAATTGATGTTCATCAGTATCGCTTCGATAGGCAACATCAGCTTAAACCCAATTTACACCTGATATGATTCTTGCACTTCCTAATTAAATAAATCCTCCTACTAAAGTAGGTTGTGCAAAAATAAACATATAAATAAAGGCTGTTGTAATCATTGGAGCTTTGTAAGGGATCTTGCCAATCATGACTCCAAAGAAATACTGCACAAAATAAATAACCAAATAGATGCATGGCATAACAAGAGCCCAAATCATTCTAAAGTAGAGCATATTAATATCTGTCATAGGTTCAAGTAGACAGTCTAAACTAAATGAACTTGATTTTGTAGGGTTACCTGCTGCATCTGTAGTTTTGGTTAAACCCTTAGGTAATACTAATTAGAATTGATTAACTATTTGTATTATTTAGAAATAGTTCGTTAACATTTTAATGAGAGTTGCCAATTAATTTGCATTCTAATTGAATCTGGCTCCCATTAAAACCAAGCTCTTAACCATCAAAAACTGATTGACCAATTCATATGTGCCTTTTACTGATAAGGTGATTGAGGCTACTGTAGCTATTGTATTTCCTGCTAATATTCCTATACTTGATTCTTTGGTATTTTGGCATGGAGAACAAACATACTTTTCAGTATTGGAATATCTAATATCATTATTAATAGCATATAGATCGCAACTCTCACATAGAGCACCAATGTGACCAGTATAACATGAAGGATTTCCTGGAATCCATCCACCATTACAATTAGCTGGTAGATTTAAACAATATTCATATTGATCATTATCTATATATGGTCTATACCATCCTTATTTTAGTTTAATTCCAACTGGAGTAACATCTAACATACTTTCTGAATTGATAGATTAACATTGAGGTGAGTCTGGTACTACACTAAACTTCTTTTGATTAATATCACATGCCTCACATTTTTAATCAAAATAAGCTTCTCCCATTTGACAAGGATAAGTTCGAATATTCAAAATCAAAAAATAGTTGTCATTTTATGATAACACATTGTAAGGATAATCAGCTTACAAAACTGGTTTTTTCACATTTGGACAATAAACTAAATAACAATATTAATTAATATACATCTTAATTCTAAATATAATTCTTCATCGATATATGGATCAAATGTAATTATCAAGTCATCAAATTTAAAAGAGGAATCATCTACATTATAATTCAGTTTATCCTAATTTGTAAAGTTACTTGTGTATTCTTTAGAATTATCATAGAAACTAATATTCTATATTCTGCCATCAATGTAGCATGAATCTGAAGAATACTCCTAAGCTAAAATTTCACCAAATCTATTTAAATATATTAATTTCATATTCCAATCATAAGGTATTTATTCCATAGTATCAATAAAGTAGAACTTGTAATTTCCAATTTTTTGTCCTGAAGGTAAAATCAAGAAATCAGTAATTTCTGGATAATTTAATAGTTAGACCCTTTCAATTGTCAATTTATCAATCATATTTACTGTATTTGATATAACATCTCCATCTTCATTTGTATATATTGAAAATGGAATCGTTGGTATTTTTTAATTGTTCATTGTGATTGTTAATGCAACTGGATCTTCATAAGTTGATGTACCAATATTTTATACATATTAATTTTTGCACTTAGTTTAGTTACTCAATTATGTTCCTTCTAAATATATAGCTGATCCAACTTAAGCCTAATTATAACTAAATTTAGAGTTGAATATCTAAATGTAAGAATCTATTGAATAGTAATATATTCCTGCTCCTACCAAGTATGCTATATTATTAGAGAATTCACAATTATCAAATAAAACATTCAAACTATTTATGCTTATACCTGCTCCAACAGAAGCAATATTATTAATAATTCTTGAGTTATTTACTTGTATTGAATACTAATCATTTGTTTCAGTTAGTAATCTTCTTCTAAATAAGGGCTTATTGAAAAGAATATCTCCCAATTAATTATTTTTTGTAATTGATAAACATCCAAAATAGGCTAAATGATTGTTAATACAAAGTAAATAATTGACTGTTATTATATCAACAACATCTTCAACTTGGATAATTTATATCAATCCATAGGTACAAACTGTACAATTATTATTACTTAGTTCTAATCCTTCAATTTTAATTTAATTTCCTTGTCTAACATTAAGTATCTAAATATATGCAGCAGTTCTATTAGATATTTCATTGAACAATTGATAAAAAATACAATCTTTTACATTTTCATCATATTAAAAATTAAGAGGAAGATCATCAACTGTGGGTTGTAATTAATTTTCGATTTCATCCCATTCATATTTAATTTTATTAGTCATACTTAAATATTCATCATCTAATTCTAAATCATCTATGTTTAGAAGAGCATCAGAAAATATTTAATCAACTAAAGCAATATTCTCTTACCAAATATCACATGTTTATTCATCATATGCTAAAATTGGAATAATGAAAAATAAGTTGGTGCATTCATCAAATTGTTTTTAAGGTATGAATTGGTTATTTTCAGAGAATGTTATTGATCCTAAATAAGCAGTTCCTAATTCATCCTTTAAAGTAAAGCGCATCAAAGGAGCACTAAAAATTGTATTATTTACAAATTAAATCTAATTGAAATATCCTCTGTATAAATTGGTTGCATATGTTATGTTTTAGTTAACAATATTGAATATTTAAATATTATTCATTCTTAATTATCCATTTGTTTATGTATAAACAGAAGCAGAAGTTTTGAATAAATCAATTTCAGTTTCTGTTAAAGCAGGAACTCTTGATAAAAATTCTTTTAAATTATTATTTTCAATTTTTAAATTGCTCATTTACACTATTTAATTGTTAACGTCAAAGAATTAGATATCCATGAATTAAGAAGTTAATGATTGACATTTGATAAATTTACTATCAGTAATTTAAATTAATTATAAATTTTTAGATGAACCTATCCAAATACAACCACCTTTAGATCTACTAACACAATTTTCCATATTAATAAATGATAAGTTGAGTTACAGAGCTGAAGCTTTAGCATCAATAGATAAACATCCACCCTATGTTAAATATTTTTAATCTAAATTGGCTTTGATGTTCTTGAAAATTGTATTGTTAATTAACAAATTACCATTCCCTTAAGTTACTATGAACATTCCTGCTCCATCCAATCCATAACTATCAATAAATTAACAATCCCTCATTTTCATATCCTAAGTTACTAAATACAAATTAGCACCTTTTGATTTTACTTAAAAAAATTCCCATACTTAAATTGTATTATTCATTTAATTTTCATTTAATTTATTAAACCAAACTCCATCAAATTGATTTGTTGAACGAAACCAACAATTAATAATGTTTATAGATTTTACTAAAATATAATTTAATCCATATTCAAATTGAGTAGCTCTATTATATTCAAATGTTGCATAGGATATATTCATTGTAGCTTATTATGATTATATAACAAATATAGTTGCACTAATCATCATTTGATATAATGATGTCTTATGCAAATGATTACTTTAGAATTAAGCATTATTTATAACAATTTATTATTATTATTATGATTTAATTGAAAATAAAGACAATTATGATCCCAAATCATACGCAAGTAAAGTATTATTAAATGCATTTATATTTGTAATTATGATGATTTCTTTATCATAATCTGAATAAAATTATTATAAATTGTCTTTTATTCTATTAGTCTTCATTTTTAGTATGTCATAAGATTATATGACAATTGCATTAAAGTCTAATAATAATTAATTGCTTATAATAATATTATTCAATTTTACTCCATGTGAGAATTCATTTATATAGAGACAATAAAAATTATAATTATTAGATGACCATAACTATTCAGCACAATAGTCTGAAGAGGGAATTAAATTATTGTATGGATTTTCAACCATTATATCATCACCATATTCATCATAAACACTTATGTAATCAGATTAAATTGAATCACATTATAATGTATCAACATCTATGGATTTAATTTCATCAAAATAAAACACTATTGAACCTAAATTGTCAACTGATTTCAATTTAGATATTTTAATATTCTAAAATTATTTGAATACACATAAAGCAGAATCTATATATCTAATAATTTATGTATAAATTAAAGATGATGTTTTTATTATCTACAAAGATTCTATTCTTAAATTAGCTTAAACATTATATGTATTTAAAGGAGTTGATAAATAAAATAAGCAATTGATACTATTACACTCATTCTAATCACAACGAACATTTATGATCTTAAAATCTTATAAAACACTTTTTGGAACAATCAATGAATCCACTATAGGAGATGTAGAAAATATAATAGAATTGTTGAATATCTTATTAGATCCTACATAGATGTTTTATAAGTTTATGTGATTCAACATAAATACATTTGAAGAAATGAATTAACTTGTAAAAATATCTACATTTGAAATTGAACTACTTATTAATTAATTGCTTATAAGAAAATTTGAATATATGAAAGAACTTATTTAGATTTTAAGATTAGTTATTGACAATTCTATTGTTGCATAAGGTTACCCATTTAGAGTACCAAAAATATTGGTACCTATAAATTCTGATTTATAAATTACTAAATCATTTATTATTATTTTAGTTTTATTAACAGGATTCTAATCAAATAATTATTGATTATTAATAAATCTACAATAAATAAATTTAACTTAAGTCAATGTTAAGGTGTAAGTGTTTTCTTAAGTAAAATTTTAATTTAAGAATTGATCAATAGGTTATAAATATGAAAATTCAACTTATTATAAAGTAAAGGTTTAAACTCCTTAAAAATTGAAGGAAAATATACTCTAAATTAATGAACCCTCCTTTGAGATTGCAGAATTGATTAATGAAAATGAACTTGATTTACCTATAAGAGTGATACCAAACTCTCTTATTTTTGAATTAATTTCATTGTTATATTCAAATTTAATATTTTCAAATTTCAAATTATTGATATTTGAAAATTAAATATGTCCTATTTAATAGAAAGTAGCAGATGTAGAAGATTTAAAATGTATATTTAGTTTTAATAATGAAAAAACATTTTATTAAAACAATGTCTTAAATTAAGTAGGTTTAGTGAATCTACATTCTGTTCCATGAATATTAATTTATATAGTAATTTCTTGTACTGCATTTTTGTTCAATAACAAATAATTCTCATATTTTTCAATTTCTTTCAAAATTAGAGTAGCAGTAGATGATTTACCTTTAAAAATAGTTGATAAATCTAAAGAATCAGGAACACTTTCCTCTTCATTACAATTTAAATTAAAATCGATAGTTGATGTATAATAGCATTTCTTTGATGTACCTGGATATTCACAAGCAGTAGGCATATATGTAATAGTATCAAGGTATAAATTTTTAGAAACATCAAAATTTTTCATAATTTTGTAACAAAGATTAGAAAACCTTTAAAAATCTGAATTACTTGGATTAAATAATGGATTTATGTTATTAATCTCATCTTTAGTTCTTTCTCTACAAGCTTCACAATAGAGAGGACAATCTGCACAGTCACTATTATCATTAATCAAAGATCTTTAACCTGGAGGACATTATGAACAATAAGCAGTATCAAATTCAAAGACACACATTGAGACTTAATCTAATAAACAACCATCCCCACATCCTTAGCATTCATTATCATATAAGTCATAACCATTATAACATTATGTGCATTATGGATCATTTAAATCTTCATTTTGGAAGAATGATTTAGAAGTTTAAGAATAAATTTAATAAACTGAATTAATTGAAGTTAAATTGTATGAATCTGTATTCTACCAACATTACCTACAATTAGAATTACATCTAAGACATTTTCCACTAAAGAAATCAGGATAATATCCAGGAATGCATTTGATACACTATAATTATTTTTTTTAAGATCTTATTGGATTTCCATTTTCATCATATGTTACATCGGCATCAGGTTCTTCATATGCAAAACAATCAATGCAATTTAAAATTCTTTAACTACATATAGTAGTTGTGCATGTTCCTGGAGTTGTAGTTGCATCAAACATTAATCCATTAGCACATAATTAACAAGTGCCATCAGCATTGAGTATAGCACAATCAGGATCTGTTTAAGTGGTACAACTTTTCTTATCTGCACTTAATTAATAGCCAGGTGAACACATATAACATAAGATATCAAAATCTCCTTCTTTCGGAATAAAATCAGGATCTAAAGTTGTAATTCCACCTCCCAAATCTTAATAACATTATTTACAATTTTCTATGTTACAATTCTAGCAACTTACACCACTAGCATTAATAAATGATTTAGATCCTCTACATTATCTACATCTCTTTATATATTTATTAACATCCTCTTCAAATGGAACATCTATATCCCTAGTTAAATATTTTGGATATATGGTATCATCATATGTCATATATTCACATTTTGAACATCCATTTTCACATGTTTCACAAGTTGCCAAAAATAAACTAGGTAAATAATACTCTCCTAATCCATCCTGTTGACATTGATAACATTCTATTGAAATACCATCAAATCCAAAATCACAATCTAAACAACCATATGGACATTCTTAACATGTATGACTATTCTTTAATACATAACCTTTCAAACATTTTTAACATCCACTTCCATCACATTTTGAACAATATTTATCACATTTTAAACAATTATCATTATCAAAATAATAACCTTTTAGACATGTTACTCCAACTTATGGGTCAACGTCATTGTTATTATAATCTTAAAAAAAGTTACATGATTCATCATCATCATCATTACAAAACTCCTCACATCCTTCACATAATTATACTATAAATGGTAGATTCACCTCACGGTCAATTAGATTTGATGGCTATTAATTAGAGGGTACAATAAAATATAAACTAGATTAAGTATCGTTTTATTATTGGAAAACACCACTGGTAGAATCCCCATTTTATATCTCATATCCATAACTACATTATCTATTTTCAACCCACGAGGTTGGGTTTTCCAAACAATCCATACAATCAAATCGCATTTCTGAAGAGAATCCTGGACTTTTAAATATTCCATTATATAATACCATTTAACACAATATTTCTCCTTGAATAAGAAATAACCATATTCACACACAGGCACCGTCTTGCTACAATCAGCTACTCCCAATTAGCATAGTTTGGTACAACTTAAATCTAAACATCCTTTCACATGGGATTCACTATATATGAAAAACTTGAATACATATCAATTAATCCGTTAACCGCAAAACTCATTATCGAAACTAACCACAACATTTATTTCAAAATTTCACTCATTAATTATTTATTGTTAAAGTTGTTAAGTCAATATACATATATAAATTACAATCAGTACCCCTATCTGTATGATTTCAATTAAATTTACACAATTTCACTAATCTACGAAAATTATTAACGAGAATAAAGATATAATAATATTGTAATACCAAACATATAAACTTTAATTATATTATATATTTGGATTAAGAATCTATAAAATAGAAAAAGAGAAAAAAAATTATAATTAACAATATAAAAACAAAATAATTGACATAAAAGGACCAAATTAATTGGAAAACTAAAATATTATATTTCTAATCTGATTTTTTATTTTTTTTAAATCTATTCTTTTAATATGGTGTATTTTAGAAAGGTTTACAATAAATTAAACTCGTTTTCACATTATCTAAATTTAACTAATTATTTTCTATAATTAAATTAAATATAAACTCATTTCTACTTACTTAAGAAATTGCAATTATAATATATCCTATTTATATATAAGATATTAATAAATATTATATATTGATTAATTAAAATGATATCAGGAAATTAAGTGATTGCATAATCTTTTGCTTAAAATCATCTAAAATATGTTTTTGGCATTGTTGGAGTCCCTGTTATTGAATTAGGTTATGCTTTTTAAGCTAATGGAATGGAATACTATGGTTTCAGAAATGAATAAGGAGCATCTTATGCATGTGGAGCAATAGGATATCTTACTCGTTTACCTGCCATCTGTTTAGTAGTTAGTGGACCTGGTTTAGTTCATGCATTAGCAGGAGCTGCAAATGCTCAAGTCAATGGATGGCCAATGGTTATAGTAGCAGGAAGTTCAGAAAATGGTTAATAATCATATGGAGCATTTTAAGAATGTGATTAATGGAATATTGTTAAGCCTTACATTAAATTTGGAGCTAAAGTATTTTCAATATAATAGTTTATAGATAACCAATTTACGATAAGCACCAATTTTGATTGAAAAAGCAATCAGATAAAGTTGTGTAGGTAGACCTGGAGTTACTTATATTGAAGTCTCAGGTGATTTATTAAGAAGCAATATACCTGAAAATGAATTAATTAAAGTACCTTCATTTACATTAGAATAAATACCAAGATGTTTAGCAGATCCAAAAAATATACTTTAAGCTGTTTAATAGTTGAAAAATGCAAAAAGACCTTTGATTATAGTAGGAAAAGGAGCTAGTATTAGTTTTGCAGAAGATTAGGTGATAAAGTTTATTGAATCAACAAAATTACCATTCTTACCAACTCCAATGGGTAAAGGAGTAGTTCCTGATTCTAATAATTTAAATGTATCTGCAGCTAGATCTACAGCTTTAGGAGAAGCAGATGTCATTTTATTGGTTGGTGCAAGATTAAATTGGATATTACATTTTGGTTTACCTCCAAGATTTGATGATAATTGTTAATTTATTTAAATTGATAATTATCCAGAGGAATTTAACAATAATAGAAAAACAACAACATTATTTGGAGATGTTTCTTTGGTAGTTGATTAATTATAAAAATCATTTGGAAATTGGTAATTTAATAATAAATAATGGATTGATAAATTATTTGAAAAGAGAAATAAGAATACTCTTATAAATTAATAGTTAATGAATGATAAAGAACTTCCATTAGAATATTATAGTGGTATTATAAATATTAATATATTTAATAGCATTTGGTATAATAAAATAGTATTTACCAAAAGATTGTGTTTATGTTGGTGAAGGTGCTAATACAATGGATGTAGGTAGAACTATAATAGAACATGATATACCAAGAAGAAAATTGGATAGTGGAACATTTGGAACAATGGGAATAGGATTGCCTTTTGCAATTGCATCAAAATTAGTTTTTAGAGATAAATAAGTATTTGCCATTTTGGGAGATAGTGCATTTGGATTTTCAGGATTTGAATTTGAAACATCAACTAGATATAATCTTCCATTGGTAATTATAATTATAAATAATAATGGAATATTTATGGGTGTAGATGAATTATCCTAAAAGAATAATGAAAAGCCAGTTACTGCCTTAAATCCTAATTCAAGATATGAGAAATTAGTATATTTTATGTATATTTTAAGTGTGAATCATTTGGAGGTAAAGGCTTTTTAGTAGAAACTCATGATTAATTGCATAATGCTATGAAAGATATTATTAATAATCCTTAATAAAGTTATATTGTGAATGTTAGAATCAATCCATATGGATAAAAGAAACCTTAAGAACATGCTTGGTTAACATAAAGTAAATTATGAAAATGTAATATATATATGTGATAAACCAATAACCAATCAAAATTTACCTATTTTATAAACTACACATTATTATGATTTCCATAAATCATCTAAATGTTCTGAATCAACCTTTTTAAACCATAATTCAGTTTATTCAATTTAATCTTCCAAATTTTTATCAAATTCATCATGTCTATATTTATGAGCTAAATATAATATAGGTTTATTGGTTAACACTTCATATAATATTTTTAATTAAGCAAAGAATGATTCAAAGGTTTTCTAATTATAAATTGGATCACTAGCAACTATAATATCAATATGTTTTTTATCAATCAAACAATCAGTTTTATGCTTACTTTGATTCCAATCAAGTATTTTAAATTTCACTTAATTAGCCATGTTATTCTTTGATATGTTCTATTCACATAATGTTTCAATCTAAGGTAAATCTGTAGCTAAAACATTACAACCTTGCTTTCCTAGAATGATACTCAAGATTCCAGTTCCACAACCCAATTCTAGTACATTTTTATTAGCTAATTCAATCTTATTGAAGTATGCTTATTTGATTAGATACCTCCCCAAAATTAAAGACTATAAATTAATGAAAATGAATGTACACATTCCCAAATTTTACCTGCTGTTTCTAGATTCATCTTCTCGTAAATTGTAATAAGATTTTCTGGTGTATTTTCTTCATCCTCATCTAATTTAATAACTCTCTTATTTTATTCACTATACATTAAAATTATTATCAATTAAAATTAATGAGACCATAATTATTAACATCTCCTTAACCACCACCTAAATAATTTATCATTCCACAATAAAGACCAACTTATTATTAACCACCCTATCAACCTCAAACTTATAGAAGACCACAACCAGCTTTTGTAATTTATACCTAACCATAACCACAATAATACTAATATTAATCATCTATATAAGTCAGATAATCCTAACCAGTCTACACTGTTCAATCCCAATAAATTTACTAACCTAGTCCTGTTAGATAATAGCGAAATTCTATTCATTAATAACAAATCCCAATTGTTAATTCTATCAATCCTTAATACTCTAACAATTAAAAATTAATTTATCCAAGTAATTCACAATAATAATAAACACTACCATAAACTGCTCCAAGATATTCAGTACAAAAACCTTAAACATATACACTTCCTAATCAAACTAATCAATAGATTTTTCCATAATAAAATTATCACCAAACATAATAATAACCACTCCAATAACAAACACCTTAAATTAAATCTATTTAACCAGTCAATAATTTTTAAGAAGATGAATTAGAGAAGAGATTCTAAGATGCCATTGATAGAACTAGAGATTTAGTATAGAAATATAATCCTGCAGATTAAAATAAATAACAATAGTAATAGTAATAATAATAATAATAATAACAATAATAATAATTAACTTAATTAGCATTGTAATACGAAGATGGATTTATATATAGAGGATAAGGATATGAACCTGCTGTGAGGGAAGGTTTTGGAGTGCTTACTGATCAATATGAGAATGAAGTCTATAGTGGATATTGGAAAGATAATTAATACCATGGCTAAGGAAAATTAATCAATTTCTAAGTTGAATAAATTTAAGGACCATATGATTATAGAGATCTTGGTAATATAGAGAATGGATGGCTGAGTTATGAAGGTTATTAATTTATAATTTAATTTAGGTGATTTTTATGAAGGCAAAATGCATGGAAAAGGAATTCTTGTATTAACAAATGGAGAATAATTTGAAGGAGAATTTAATGATGGTATGATAGATGGTTAAGGAATATATTCTACTTCTGATAGACATGATATTAGAGGAGTATGGAAAGATGGAATTTTAGTAGAATGATTCTTAAATTTTTATTTATAAGTGCATATTTTAAGCAATTCTTTAATATTATTATCTGTAAATGATCAGAATTAAAGTTTTTAAATTCATTATTAATTTAATATATTATTATTACTAAAATAGAAATGTAAATACTTGAGAAAATTGGTGATGGATTGTCTAGTGTAATTAATAAATGTATTATTAATCATAAATAATGTGCTTTAAAATCATTTAAAGAGTGTTCACGTAAATTACGTGAAAGAGAAATCAAAATACTTAATTCTCTTAAACACGATAACATTATTTCAATTTTAGAATTTGATCAAAACTATAATTGGTACACAACTACTTTGATGAAAATAGACCTTCATTAACTCATTATTACACATGGTTCATTATAAAGTATTACTATACAATAAATTCTATTATAACTATCAAATGCTTTACTTTATATGCATTCTATAGACTATGTTCATAGAGATATTAAACTTGAGAATATCATGCTTGATTCAGAAGCCAAATTGTTTATTATAGATTTTGGTCTATCTGTTTGTCTACACACATCTAAATAATATCCTAGACATTGTGGAACATCTACCTATATGGCACCAGAACTCAACTAAGATGAAAAAATCATCAATTCTAATTCACTCAAAAAAACTGATGTTTTTGCTCTAGGAGTTGTAATATTCATTTTAGCTTATGGTTATCCTCCCTTTACAATTGCCATACAATCTAAATGTAAATTTTGGAATACCATTATTTAATAAAAGTGGCAACAGTTTTGGAATTATTTTGATAAACTAATAAAAACTCCAACAAATCCTGATTTCAAAGACTTGATTTAAAATATGCTAGAACCAGATCCAAATAAAAGGTTTACTATTGACCAAGTTAATAAACATCCATTTATCACTAATCAATCTAACTTAGAAGAACTCAAAGTCAAACTTAATATTTGAGTATATATATATATATATAATTATACATATTAAAGATATTTTAAACACTAATCACAAAGAAAATAATACTCAAGTTATGAATTTCCAATTTTCTGAAATTTATAAATTAATCAAATTAATTTATTAAAATATTCTTTTATAATTATTCATTCCTTTCTTATTTATATATTATATAAATATANTGGAAAAGGAATTCTTGTATTAACAAATGGAGAATAATTTGAAGGAGAATTTAATGATGGTATGATAGATGGTTAAGGAATATATTCTACTTCTGATAGACATGATATTAGAGGAGTATGGAAAGATGGAATTTTAGTAGAATGATTCTTAAATTTTTATTTATAAGTGCATATTTTAAGCAATTCTTTAATATTATTATCTGTAAATGATCAGAATTAAAGTTTTTAAATTCATTATTAATTTAATATATTATTATTACTAAAATAGAAATGTAAATACTTGAGAAAATTGGTGATGGATTGTCTAGTGTAATTAATAAATGTATTATTAATCATAAATAATGTGCTTTAAAATCATTTAAAGAGTGTTCACGTAAATTACGTGAAAGAGAAATCAAAATACTTAATTCTCTTAAACACGATAACATTATTTCAATTTTAGAATTTGATCAAAACTATAATTGGTACACAACTACTTTGATGAAAATAGACCTTCATTAACTCATTATTACACATGGTTCATTATAAAGTATTACTATACAATAAATTCTATTATAACTATCAAATGCTTTACTTTATATGCATTCTATAGACTATGTTCATAGAGATATTAAACTTGAGAATATCATGCTTGATTCAGAAGCCAAATTGTTTATTATAGATTTTGGTCTATCTGTTTGTCTACACACATCTAAATAATATCCTAGACATTGTGGAACATCTACCTATATGGCACCAGAACTCAACTAAGATGAAAAAATCATCAATTCTAATTCACTCAAAAAAACTGATGTTTTTGCTCTAGGAGTTGTAATATTCATTTTAGCTTATGGTTATCCTCCCTTTACAATTGCCATACAATCTAAATGTAAATTTTGGAATACCATTATTTAATAAAAGTGGCAACAGTTTTGGAATTATTTTGATAAACTAATAAAAACTCCAACAAATCCTGATTTCAAAGACTTGATTTAAAATATGCTAGAACCAGATCCAAATAAAAGGTTTACTATTGACCAAGTTAATAAACATCCATTTATCACTAATCAATCTAACTTAGAAGAACTCAAAGTCAAACTTAATATTTGAGTATATATATATATATATAATTATACATATTAAAGATATTTTAAACACTAATCACAAAGAAAATAATACTCAAGTTATGAATTTCCAATTTTCTGAAATTTATAAATTAATCAAATTAATTTATTAAAATATTCTTTTATAATTATTCATTCCTTTCTTATTTATATATTATATAAATATATAATCAAGTGAATTATATTTTAATTCTACATAACCTATACAAATAATGATAACGTCATTTCATTTAATCTTATATCTCTTAGAAATTCCCTTATGTTTTGATATAATTAAACCTCTTAATATACAATTTAATCCTTTTATTTTATTTTTATTTATTTATTTATATTTTACTAGTTGTTTGTTCAAATTCAATAACTTCCAATAGATCTTGTAAGTCTTGAAAATATACTTTACATAGTTAACTTTCCAAAAAAAATATATAATTTAACAAAATAAAGCAAGAATGCTTTCGTAGATTTATCACAATCATATACTTGAATATTTAATTGTATATTTTTTTCAAATATTATATCGATTCATTTTATTTAGATGGGTTTTCCTTTTTATTAAGCCTTTTATGTACAATTGCTAATTATAATTAGGAATGAGTATCATTAGAATAAAATTGAGTAGGTTTTTTGATGATTTAAAAAAAAAATAAATTATCCAAAAATCCTTCATAGCTGTAAATTAAAAAAATATATTATTTAACTAACTTAAAGATAATTCTTCTTATATATATTGCTTTTAATTTAATCATATTATTCTATGAAAAGCATAAAATAATGAGATATGATCAATGTTTTTTTAAGGTAGCATCAAATCATAAATATTATCTAAATAGGACTATAAATTTTAGTTTCATCTTAAAATATATTCAATAAAAAAAGTATTGTCGTTTGTCCTGCTCAAAAAGAGATTATCTTTACTACTACAATGAAAATAATACAATTATTCTGATTACAAATTCTAGATATTGAAATATGGATAAAACAATTATATTTTTTTGATAATCTTTAATCAAATAAGATCAGAATACTTAAAGAATGAATTATACTATTTTTTATATTAATATTATTAAACATTTACTAAAATTTTCATAAAAATTTGTAATATTTTTTAAAAATAAGCCCATATGTTGCCCCTATAATCATAGATGCTATGTGAGCTGGTCTACAATTTTATTGATCTTCCATTAAAAATTCTTCAATTTCATAAATAATATATAACAAAGGAAAGATAGCAAAGGGAAATTTTTTCTAGATAATATAATTAAAATACTCTTATCATATATTCAGGTTAGAGGACAACAAATGAAAAGATATATGCTAAAGCTGTACAAGCTCCAGTTGTTTTTGGTGACATCATTGATATTCCTAATTGCTAATTTCTATATTTTTCATAATAAAATGTTATAGCACTACTTAACTAAATAATTAAATAATTATACTAAACTATTAATTAAGTACAATCCTATCATTCCTTTGTAATTCATATAATAACCATTTAAATACAATCCACATATTAAAGCTGGAACATATGTTAAAAAGGATTAAGTAGTTTAATGAGATGAGGGAGCCAATAAAATTGGATAAAGAAGGTCTTTAGTATACTCACTTATAGAAGAATGTTTAAATATTTTAGAATATGGCA